TGAATGATTGGTGTGATTGTGATCGCCGATGGGAATGACTTCTCTTTTATATTTAATGTCTATAAAAAGATTATAACATTTATTAATATATTATTTGCCAAATGCTATCATTGTTTGTGTGGTTTGTGTGGATATATTCTCTTATATTTAATAAATGGAAAAATAGAGAGAATTTTGAGGAACAATACAATTATAGCACAATTAGTCTGGAGATAGACATCGGAGGGAATCAAAGAACTTTAGGGTTAAAACCCTCGGCTCTGGTGATGGTGTTAAAGACCAGAATAAAAAAGATTATTAACTTATAAGACAATGAACACGAGGTAGTGGTAGGCCTACAGAGATAGTGAACACCAGACACCAGAATAATATATAAAAATTATATACTATAGTACTGTATGTGTGAATTGCACACAACTAATGGACATTTGGTATCGATTTTAACGCTAATGTTTTATGTCACGTATTATTCATTTTATATTTAAAATTAATGGATACTAAACTAAACGAATGTTAATTATATATTAATTTTACGTGATTTTCATTTTGCTATGAAATTGGTATTATCTAAATGTCGACTTCACTTTTTTTCACTAGAGTTTATGGGTTTCGGTTATTTATGCAAATTTATCACAAAATTGGGATTCATTTAATCAAAATGTATTGCGAAAAATAATGCATAGATTATTTTATAAATTTATTAGTCATGGATTGCGAAATATCTTATTTGATTAGCTATCAACAACTAAATACAGACTTGAAGTTCATTACTATAAATAAATTGTATACTCAATTAGTATATATTCTGTGAGTTGTGTAGAGAATTAAACCGAAAGCCAAACACTTTGCTCCGGTATTATAGCTGGAATTCATGGCCTATTATTCGCACAAAAATTCATTAATTTTGCTCCAAATTCGTTGAAAATAATTATATTTTCGTTTTCGTTTCTACTGATCATTGAATACACGGATAACAAATAGTTGACCAAAAATATCTATATCTATGTGGAAACCCTTTTTACAGGAAATTTTATTTATTATGAGTTTTGTGTTAAAGAGAAAAAGTGATGAAAAAACTAAATCCTATTAAATGCTTACCATTTCGTAGTAAACGAAAGAATACTATCAATAAAAGAAAGTCAAATCATTTGATATTATTTTCTGATATAAAAACCCATAATTGGATTATAGTTATGATGCGAATGAGCGCATTCTTCCCATCCATATCCCTGCCCTCGACGGACAGGTATACCTTCGGAAGCGTTCACAATATCAATAGCTTCGAGAGTGTGGACGAGAATCAACTTCAAGACATAATAACCATCAAATCCCTATGGCTTGACCTGAGATCAGCCGTTCCTATACTCATACTAGCGGTGTATTCGTTGAGATTCGTGTTGACCCTTATATTCCAAGTGTTTGAGTGGCGATACCTTCGGGTGATGTCGTGCCCGACACTCACCACAACCATCGACTGTATTTCTGCCACTCTTTGTGTAGTTTTCTATTTTGCAAAGAAGTGCCAAATAGAAGAAGTCATTATCATCTCGTCATCATTCCTGAGGCCAATGCCATTGAGTGCCAAAACCGATATCAGACTCTACTCTATACTCACTTTCCTATTGTTAAAACTAAATCCTATTAAATGCTTACCATTTCGTAGTAAACGAAAGAATACTATCAATAAAAGAAAGTCAAATCATTTGATATTATTTTCTGATATAAAAACCCATAATTGGATTATAGTTATGATGAGAATGAGCGCATTCTTCCCATCCATATCCCTGCCCTCGACGGACAGGTATACCTTCGGAAGCGTTCACAATATCAATAGCTTCGAGAGTGTGGACGAGAATCAACTGCAGGACATAATAACCATCAATAACCTATGGCTTGACCTGAGATCAGCCGTTCCTATACTCATACTAGCGGTGTATTCATTGAGATTCGTGTTAACCCTTATATTCCAAGTGTTTGAGTGGCGATACCTTCGGGTGATGTCGTGTCCGACGCTCACCACAACCATCGACTGTATTTCTGCCACTCTTTGTGTTCAAAAGATAAAACGTTTCTTCACGGTTTATCTTCTTCAGTAATAGTAGAGCAGTAGTAAGGACTCCGGTTACGGTAACTCACGGTTTTGGCTATAGTCTGAGATGAGATATGAGTGAAAGGATAACATTGTGTTTATTATTGTTATTGAATTCGTTAGCAATTCCATGCTTATGACACAATGGGATCACCACTCGTATAGGACCCGGTTTACTATATTTGCCGACAATTTACTAAACAAACAAGAATATAGTGCTCTAATCGCTTACATCTATTATTTGGATTTAGTTTTACAACATTTCTTTGCACTCATTCTCCTCATAGGAAAGGTATTGTAAATACAGTGATAAATANCCGACAATTTACTAAACAAACAAGAATATAGTGCTCTAATCGCTTACATCTATTATTTGGATTTAGTTTTACAACATTTCTTTGCACTCATTCTCCTCATAGGAAAGGTATTGTAAATACAGTGATAAATAAGAAACTAATTGAACACAAAACAACATTTATTTTATTGCTTCAGATTATCTATAAATAATTAGTTTATACAAAAATTGTTTGTGTTCATACATAAACATTAAGTTTTGATAACTTTATCTGTTGTTATGAAAATATGTTTATTATTAGAGTTTGGTTTAACTTAACTCTTGTGATCAGATATTAAATAGATTTTTATAGACATAAAAGAAAAACACATAATGAATAAATAAATTATTTAACACTATAAGACTTTTACACAAAACAGGGAAATTTTTAAATATACAAAACACGATTGAATTATTGATTTTGTAAAAGTTACATAATTTTAGATATATTTTTAACTAAAAATATTGCTTTAAAATTGATAAAACCTAGTTCTACACCCAGTACTAGACCTGTAAATCATAGATAAAAGTAAAAAATTAATTTGTCAAATTAATAGCTTTTAACTAGAAAAGAGCATAAAATACATGAAAATGTTCAGTAAATCACATTTTAAAAACCATTGCAATTAATTGAATAAAGAATCCTTTTCTTATAGCACTTTACATCCCTGTCCTCAATGAACACCAAAGTGTTTAAATATAAAACAAGGGAAAAGTGTCTCTCATTAGATATAAATAAATTTACAGTTCTCAAATTGTTGATAAGTATTTATCTAACTGACAGCGTGTTTTTCGTAACGAAATGAATACATATAAAATCGCAATTAAAATAAATGACAATAAAAATGTCACCTAATAAAAACATTGAAATGAATTTAATTACTGAATCTTTATGAGTCTCTACTCCAAGAATATATTTCTGAGAAAATTTATTTTCCTCTATAAATCTAATTCATAATTAATTCTCATATTATTGTTGGAATTGCTCACAAAAATCTTAGAAAATTGCCATTATACTTGTTTTGATAACTTATTAAGGGTGTAAATGAATTCTGGTTAGCAATACACAATTTTCTAATGTAATACTGTACTAAATATTGCTAATTATATAATTATTTTGTTGTTTTTTGTTTATACAAAAAAGTCAATTAAAAACACAAAAATAAAGTATACACGTACTAGATAATCACGTAATCAATAATTTATTTCCTATTCTTTATATAATTATACAATATTTAATTTAATTTGAGTCTAAAAGATGCAAAGCTAGTGAACATACCAAACGGTCTTTACACTTGTTAACTTCAGTCTTTATCTTTACTTATAGTCTTAGCTATTATTCTAGTAATTATTATTAGTGTGCTTATTATTACTCTGAAAAAATGAATTCATTGAATTGGAAAGACTGAACGCATTGCGGGAACAAATCATTGATATAATTGGCTTACATTCGGACACATTTCACGTCCTAATCGTCTTCTGGATGTCTGGCAGTGTATTGTCTTCACTGGCGATACTGAACACCATTTACTGTCTGTTTATGAGTGAAAATCTCAATTTCTTGGACCTCTTATCATATTATTGTCACTTTTGTTCAAAAGTATTTGCTTTCGTTATAACATTCGTTGCCTTTAGTTCTGTTAAATTAAATCTCAATTGCTTTCAGAGACAAATCCATTGATACTAAAGTAAATATAAACCTAATTAAATTGAATATTATTTTCAATATCCCCAAATTCTTATATACAGTAACTGTACCATAATTTTTGACAAATACTGTACTAAGTGTTAAATAAATTTAAATTTACTAGGCATTAAACATTAGTTTGTTATTTAATTAATACCTAAATATATTAAATAACGTGTTGTAACAAAATAAATTTATGTTTAATTATAATTTAAAATAATCATAAAATTAATTTACTTAATAACTAATCAATATCTAAACATAAGATCATATGATGGACTGTTTTTTCACTGGAAATAACTCACAGAATAATCTCTTGAGGAACGAAGGAATGGCATCAAGGAATGGTGTCTTAAAATTGATTTATTTTAGTTTTAAGTAAAATATTAAATTTATTTGACTAATCAAACAATTCAATTATTAACTATTATTTATTAACAGATTGCAAACACATAATTAATTTTATTCATCATACTGTAATAAATTATAATCATAATTTTATGTTTTAAGAAATTCTTTATTGACTTTTATGAAACGCTTGTCTTAAATTTAGTATTTTATATAACTGTTTTATAAAATTTTACTAAATTAACATGAAATTAAACATAATTTTCAGTTATTAATACAATTTTAACACTAATTTGATTCTCACTAAAATACTTTGCGAACAGAATTTAAATCATAAAATATATTGACAAAATATTTATTTTACTAAATTAACATGAAATTAAACATAATTTTCAGTTATTAATACAATTTTAACACTAATTTGATTCTCACAATAAACAACATAAAAGTTTAGACAAACAAACAAATCAATAAAATAACAATCGTTAGAAAAAAAGATTTTCGTATGAATTACTAATGGAATGATTGAAATGATTAAAAAATTACAAATTGTTGGTTAATGCTTGAAGTGTGTGGTGATAGTCACTGGTGGCTAACATCGCCTCGAATCTAGTCATCTGTTCGGCCCTTTCGTTCAGGTGATCCCTACAGAAGTTGACCAGTTTTTGTGCGTTTTCGGTGATCTCGTGGTCCTCACCGTTATACTCAACAGAGTTCTCGTAAATGAGTTGAATGTCTTTGAGGAACTGGTCGCGCGTCCAGTACTTCCCTTCGCTATTACGCAGACGTATTGTCGACAAATCGATCGGCGTTTTGATTATCTCGTAATAATCGGGCGCTTCCTTTGGTTTGACCGCTTCGTTGAAGAAGTCGATGCAGTCGGACAGGTCTTCGCGCTTACGACACGTCACGATCAGTCTGTCGAAGATCTCCTTCAGTTTGACCATCGGATCCACTCTACACCTGGTGGTGGAGCGCGTGGAGAAGTACTCCACAGTCTTCGAGCGTCTCTCCTCCTCTTCCTCCTCCTGAATACGTCTCTGCTCTTCGTTCTCGATCTCATTCGCTTCGATGACCACCTGTTTGGCAAACTTTACTTTAATGCCCTCCACTTTGGCCAGTGGTTGGCGCCCTTCGACAGTCGATTCCACGACATCCCAGTCATCGCTGTCGTCGATATCTATGTTCGCGAAATCGCAACCATTGCTACCATTTGAGACATTTTGGGAGGTATTTTGGGTCACATTCTTGAGTATACCATGCAATGGCTTTGGCGTCACTTTAGGCTGACTTTGATTTACGGGTGGTTTGACGTTAGCCGTCGCAGAAGAGAAACCAAACGTAAAACTAAAGCTCTGTTAGAAAGGCAAAAGCGAGTGTAAAGGCTATTTTAAGTTAACGAAATATTTAAGACCTCTAAAACAAAAAGACTACGCTTGCATCCGAAGTTAGTGAAGGCGTCTTCTGACGATTTCTGTCCTCAACTCTCGTTTACCATTGATTTCGTAGATTCTCTTAATCTTAAGTATCTTTCCTTTAAGTGACTCTTTTTGCGGCTTTTGTTGTCCACTCTTCTCGCCTTTCAATGACTTAACAAACTTTTGGCGCTCCTCTTCTTCGCGTTCGTATTCAATCTGTTCCAGAGATTTGTTCTCCAAAATCATGGCTTCTAAGTCGCGACCCATGTCTTCGAGATCGGAGTCGCTCTCCTCCTCCTCTTCCTCATCGTCCTCTTCATCCGTACTATACGTCTCTTTCGAAGAGTAATAACTGGTCTGCAAATTGAAGACCTTCTGGCACTCCAGCCTATAGTGCTGTTCAGTAGTTGCCGTTTTGCTAATACCAGCCCTCACGCCTACACACAGAGCATATGAATTAGTAAACAAATACTCAATTAAAACACAAATGAATACCATTTTCTCTCAATTTTTGCGACAGTTCTTTGATCATGAATTGACATTCCGTAACATTCCTCAACTTCTTGACCTTTGAAATTCAATTAATAAATTGCATTCATTTGCCACAAATATGTTATAAATACCCGATCTTTAGACAATCCATAATTGATTAGCCATTCGTGAGCCTTCCTTAATGGCATCCTTTTGAGAGACAAATTAGATATCGGAAGACATTTCTTAATGGTCGGCATTTGATCCTAGAAATAGTCGTTTAATAAGAATTAAAATTAATTCAATTAAAAAGCGTTTTCAATAAACCTTAAAGTCTTTGTAGGACTGGTTCTTAAACATGAGAGATCCGTCTTCGTTATACTCGGAGACAGTCAACCATTTCTTGGCATTAAGTGCTCCGATATACGAGACGCTGGTATTCCAGGGCGCGATCGTCAGCTCATTCAATTGGTTATCACAGTTATCATCACTATTAAGGTATAAACGGTCGCCAAAACCCCTTTCCTTAAACTTATGGGCGGCTATAGTAGTCGTATAGTAAGTACAACAGTCTTCTGGTGTCAGCAAATTGTTTATCTGATTATCAAATGGTATTTCGCTTTTGAGTTCATATCCTACAGAAATAAATAAATAACTTAAAAATACATTTTAAACGAAACCTCAATAATCAAGTCATACGCTCTCCTTTGCGAACAGTGAAAGCCCTGATAATTCTTGTGACAAAATGTCGGCTCAGCTTTGGAAAGGCTTTTATGAGTTCTGTTTCCAAATTCTGCACAGACTTTCTGCCGTCAAAGAATCGGTAGATAAACATCTGATAAAACATAACATAAACATTTTAAATAGAGTTAAAATAGATTACAATAATGGAATACCTTTGCAAACTGTTTGACGAAATCGTAGTAGTGTTTAGACTTAGGTCGCGGCACTTCTATTAGAGGCAACTGCTGGCCCACGACATACACACCATTCAATTCGCGGATATAATAACTGTTCATAAAATGAATAATAAATTAAAAATAAATTAAATTCATTTAGTTTTCATGAGTCTTACTTGTCATCGGTTCTAATGATCAGAAAGTCTGTCTCAGGACATGAGTGTCGAAAGATTGGCGACCGAAACATATTGGTCTCTAATGACAGCTGACTTTTACCCGAACCTATTTCACCAATAAATGGCGAATTCGTGACAACCCTTAGTTCCGCGTATTTATCCTCTAATGGCACACAATTCTTGTCATTGGTTTTCTGTAATACAAAATCACTTTAAGTATAATTCTAATGAAAATACGGTATAAAGTATTACTTGAAAATAATTAACGATTTGAGACCCCATTCCAACTCTCATAAGGAAAGGCGGATCTTCTTCGGAGTACTCCATAACCACAACCTCTCCATTACGGGCCGACAGTTCCGAAACCGTATTAATCGTATATTTAGTCAAATCTTTTGCCGTCTGATTCTGATCTTCATTGAGATCTCCATTCATTTGAATGCGATTACTACAGAAGAGGACGTCGTGTGGGACGCGAGACCTCAATATCTTTGATCTCTTAAGCACTGGTCGATCAAACTCTAGCAGACACGTCGGGAACAGCATTGCGTCCATTTTAATGGCCGGAATTGAGTGCTTAATGATTAGGCTATGCGTGACATTATTGTCCACTTTAACCACCGAAGCGTAGAACTCATCGTTGGATATATTGAACTGATCTGTCGATTCATTCAACGGGTCAGCGGTATGCGAGTCAGTCGTGTCCTCATCCATCATCTCGTCAAAGGCGAGGATAACATTGTCGTCGTCGCCACTAAACGGTATAATCTTTGGCTCCAGTTTACGATCCATGGCTTCGGTGTCCCAAATGATCTCATCCTCCCATACGCTCAGCACTAACTCCCGGTTCTCTTCGGCTAACGTCGACACCCATCGGCTCTTCTTCACCTCAACTGTGGCTTCCGTTTCATTCATTTTCTCATTCCTATTATCACTCAAACCATTCACAACACTATTCCTCTTCCTTTTCCTCAAATTCTTCGACAACCCATTGATCGGTGTCTTTGCATTGTCTGTGGTTTTGTCCGTAATTTTTGTAAAATTATTATTACTATTATTATTGCATTTATTTGTAGCACTTATACCACACATACTGGTGTCCACTGTATCACTAACTATCTTCACATTAAGACAATCCACTTGTTTGCAAAAGTCGGGCGCACTTCGGGTCACACCAATGGGCAGCCAACCGGTGGTCGGCTCCAACTTCTTGGCCCTATCTATCACTTTCTCCGCGACCACATCCGAGTCCCAAATCACCTCATTTTCCCACTTTATCTGCGAAACCAAATTAAACGCGTCTTCGGGGTCCACACGTGTGTCGGCCCACGAGTGCATCCAATCACTCGACGCGCTCTTATTTCGCACTTTGAGGCCGTAGTCATAGTCCTGACAGTCTTCGGGCAGACCCATGAGGTCGTACCAGTACTTCGCGGGTCCGTTACGCCAGTCATCGACGGTCTCCGCGTATGTCTCGTCGATGATCGTGGCGTCCGAGTCGTCGCCATCATCTGCCTCTCGAGGTTCGGCCAACAAGTGGTCTCGTCTTCGGACACACCTCTCATTGCGGACCAATTGGCTCTTCGAGCGGAAAGCACTTCCGGGGATTAAATTTGTCTTAAATTGGCTCACATTTGGCTCAAATCGTTTGGACGGCGGCTTCGCTTTGGTCTCACTATCGTCTGAGTCCTCCGAGTCCGACATCATATCACTCTTCACATCAATGGACACACTGTCGACACAAATGAACACAATTTGTGGCCAAAGGAGACCACAGTTCACTCATGAGGTGATGGCAGGCATTGCGTCATTGAATAATAGGGACTCACGTTATGGCAGTAAGTGTTGACTCAATGCATGAGGTTTTGGTGCATATGTTCACACAAATGATTGCAAACTAATATGAAATCACTTTTTAATCGCTTAACTAACTATTGATTTGATGTTTAATGGCTTTTAACAAACAATTAGTTTGCATTAAATGTAAACAAAATAATTGTTTTGTTTTTTCTCTCAACACATGCCAAACGAGTTAAATGACAATACAGTCCACCAGTATATAACGTTACCAATTATGGGGGTGTTATGAGTTTGACATAACTTATTAATAGGGGTTTATTTCGTGTTAGAAAATTTGGATTATGATTTAGATTATGTAATTTTTATTAATCATTATATACCTAACTTAGTTAACACTGTTCATATTTAGACTAATTTTCAGGTGCTTTATAATTACAGTAATTGTATCGGAAAGGGGCACTCAATTGAGTACTTATAAGTCATAGACTTTGTGATAATATGAATACAATAATTTCGCGGTTTTTAAATTATAAATTGAATTATAAATTATAATCACAATAATTACCACACAATTCAAACTGTTATCAAATTAAAATCACATTTACTTTTCAATGCAATCACAGGTTTTATCATAAAATAATACCAAAAAATATGTTTTTATAAAAATACTAGAATTTAAAATCACATCAAATTATGGCTACATTTAGGATTACAATACTTTCACAAAAAAATATATTAATGACTGATTTATACAAAATTAAAATCTATTGAAACGAGTAAAGCGATTAAATATTATATTTTCTGTTGAGTTGTGACCAGAAATCACGACTAATATCTTCGCTCGTATTGGAGACCAACTTTTCGGCGCGTTTGCGGTCATTGAACTCAAACTCGACGAGAGAGCCCGTCATCGAGACCCTGTAGTGGACGCCCATCACGCGGGCCAAGTCTTTGGCCTCCGTTTCCTCCCTTTCCTTCTCTTTCATAGCACTGAATGTCTCCCGATTTGTCGACAATTGTTTGGTCGCTGTCTTCAGCGCCTTCTCAGTCGTTATCTTCTCTTTCTTCACGTCTTTTAACGTCCGTTTCAGTGCCTGTGTGTCGGACTTCAGCTGTTTGTTGGTGTCTTCGAGTAATGCGAGACATTCATCGCTGTTATCGCTTCCGAGGCCAATGTCGTTATCTTCTCTTTCTTCACGTCTTTTAACGTCCGTTTCAGTGCCTGTGTGTCGGACTTCAGCTGTTTGTTGGTGTCTTCGAGTAATGCGAGACATTCATCGCTGTTATCGCTTCCGAGGCCAATGTCTTTGACAATAACTCCCACTTCCTCTCTGTGTCTGTCATTTAACTCATTAATCAAACTCTGGTTTAGATTTTCGATTTCAATTAATTCATCGAATTTGTTGTCTATATCTTCGGTTACATCAGTCAGAAATGAGAGCCAATTATCACTCATTTTCTCCAATTTAGACATCGCTTCGGACACCGATTGGGACACCGATTTGGACACCGATTGGGACACCGATTGGGACACCGATTGGGACACCGATTTGGACACCGATTTGGACACCGATTGGGACACCGGTTGCGATGTCTGTGAAGACGATTGCAAAGTGGAATCGTTAGTAACGGTTCTCTTCGGCCGACCGCTGGGTTTACTATTGGACACCAATTGGGATGTCTGTGAATATGACTGTGAGATGGAGTCGTGGTTGACATTCCTCTTGAGACGAGAACTTCGTGTACTCATCGCTCTATGGGTTCAATGGATCCACTCTTATAGATCTTCGACAGACTGATCGTGACGTGTCGTAAGCGCGAAGACCTGTCCGACTGCATCGACTTCTTCAACGAAGCGGTCAAACCAAAGGAAGCGCCCGATTATTACGAGATAATCAAAACGCCGATTGATTTGTCGACAATACGTCTGCGTAATAGCGAAGGGAAGTACTGGACGCGCGACCAGTTCCTCAAAGACATTCAACTCATTTACGATAACTCTGTTGAGTATAACGGTGAGGACCACGAGATCACCGAAAACGCACAAAAACTGGTCAACTTCTGTAGGGATCACTTGAACGAAAGGGCCGAACAGATGACCAGATTCGAGGCAATGTTAGCCACCAGTGACTATCACCACACACTTCAAGCATTAACCAACAATTTGTAATTTTTTAATCATTTCAATCATTCCATTAGTAATTCATACGAAAATTTTTTTCTAACGATTGTTATTTTATTGATTTGTTTGTTTGTCTAAACTTTTATGTTGTTTATAGTGAGAATCAAATTAGTGTTAAAATTGTATTAATAACTGAAAATTATGTTTAATTTCATGTTAATTTAGTAAAATAAATATTTTGTCAATATATTTTATGATTTAAATTCTGTTCGCAAAGTATTTT